CTCTGTTTATGAACTATTTTCACACAAAAAAAATTTAAATAAATTTGTAGTTTAAAATCCTATTAAACGTTATTGATTATTGATTATTGATAACTGGATATTGTATATAATACATTTTCAGATGAAAAATATTTACTCCAAGTGGACGGTTCTGTGAAGACATAGGTATTTTTTTTATTTTTTTTAAGGTATGCATAGGTGAATATTATCTCAGTTTCAAGTGATGGAATGTGAAGTGCTTAGGGAAGTTTGCCAGTGCATGTCTAAAAGTGGAGTGGAACGCAGCCTAGATATATTAGAAACTTCCAGGCAGGTGTGTTGAGGCAAGTTGGAGCTAAACTCTGCAGGACAGTGGCCCTCCAGGACCGAATTTGGTGACCCCTGCTTTACGTATTTGTAGATATGATAATAAGCAATCATTAACCTTTAAAAAGACACACTGCTGTCAATTAAATGCCTCAATATGCCAGGATATGTACAGGAATTTTGAGGTAATGTTCAGTCAGTATTTGATAATATTCAAATAGCTCAGTTATGCTGGAAATTGATTGGCTATTGCAGCTGTCAGTTATCTGATGCTAACTGATTGCACAGACACTATTGGAAGAGAACTGAACTGAATGATGACATCACTGAATCATCAATGAACTGACTTTAGCTGAAAAAAAAACGACTCTGTTATTGTCTTCTTGCATCATTGACAAACTATTTTCCTGTTTGACTCTGTAAAGCTACTTTGACACAACCAGTATTGTATAAAGCGCTATACAAATAAAGGTGACTTGACTTGACTAATTATGCAAATAACTTGGCCAATCAGAATCAAGCATTCCAGACAGCCATCAAATAATGTTAAAGGTGAATAAGTAAAATCCAACAAATTGTTGGCAAACTGCTTTTCCATACAATCCCTCCATCTGCCATTGGTAAAAAAAATAGATAGTCCGGCCCCAAGCTTATGCTATTGGCCAGGATGCTCAAATAAACAGAGCAATGTTTTGATAGCAACCACGAAGAGTCTTTACATTGTTTGTCATATTCAGAAAAAAAAATCTATAAATAAAAAAATCATCTGACCACTTCTGTTTTTTTTTTTTGTTCAGATCTAAATAAGAACAAATGTGACAGGCTATGTTTCCGGCTACATCGACATCAACAATTTAAAATTTTTACCCAGCTGATTTCTCACTGGAATGCAATAAATCTCAGTTTGAGAGCTACAGGTATAGATCATCTTCATCTTGGAGGTCATCGTGAAGGTCTCTGAAGGTTTAATGCTCTTGCTCGTATCTTGACAGGGTATCCAATTATTAATTGGACAGACCTGCACACTGTAATTTTATTTGACAGTCTTGTGCCCTTTTTCAAACCCCGTCCAAAGACCTTCTGAACAGTGTCATCTGGATAACACTCCCAGATGTTCTGACTATTCAGTGTCTTAATTGTTTTTGCTCCATATTGCAGTTTCCATTGTGACAATTACCCAACAGTCAGTCTAATCCTTTTGGAAACCAGTCAAAAATGATGCCAATGATGTCAGTTGTCATCAAACCAAGAGCCAAGAAAGATACTGAATGGCTGAATGAAAACACTCTGTCGCTGTTATGGTCTACGTTTTGAGGATAAACTTCAAAATGGGTAAACTGGCTTCCTTGCTGCTAAATTGGTATTTGAATAGATTTGGACAACACAACGCGTTGAATTGGAATTGGAAAAAATATGGACAATATGGAAAAATATTGACATCAACATTTTTAATTACACATAAAATAATGAGCTGTAAACAATTGTCACCAATCTACTAATAACAGATGTCACCCTGTATGTGGTAAGTTGCCATCAAATAGCCTATTATTCAAAAAACAGACACACAAAAGAATTTGTGAAACAGCACACATAGAAAAGTCATTGTCATAACTTGTTTTGATCAATGGTTTCATCTAAGTGCTGATAATGCAATTTAGAATTTATAGACCTATATACATTTATTTCCATATTAAATTCAAAAACTGCAACACTTTTCAGATTCGTGCACCTTATTTATTTGTGTGTGTGGCATCACTGATTATCTAATGTTGTGTGAATCATTTCACAGCATGTTTATGAGCATAAAATACTGAAAACAAATGTAGCTATCATTAAAAATTGCATTTGCAGAAGTCATTCCATTCAGTAGATTTGCATTCAAATTATAGTTCTGCATTCTGTTTGCAGTGATTGAATCGGAATGTATAAGGCATTCTCAAGTCAGTTATGAATGACGCACATGCAGCCCAGCTGGAAATGGCAGTCTAGTTCAATCACGCGCTGCTTGTGCTGTTGTGTGGTTCATCATGTGGTTATGGGCATGATGATGGCGTTCTCATTTGAGCACAAAAACGGTTGGAGGTCTGTTTAGCTAACAAAGCAGGACCGGCACTCAGGTCAAATTCGTGACAATAAACTGACACCAAGCATTCACTATTAAAAACATTCAAGACTACGCTTCGGTGGTGTTTTCAAACGTTTCAGTAAACACAAATGTTAGTAAAAGCGCGTGCAACAACCTAATAGACGCCAGCATATGTCCCATTCACCTGAGCAACCAGGGGCGGACTTACCCATTAGGCAAAGGTAGGCGACCGCCTTGGGCCCCCAAAAGCCAAGGGTCCCCAAAAGCCAAGGGCCCCCTAAAATGCTTTTCATAAAGGAGATGCGCATTAAGGGCTGACACGCGAACGGTTGCTGTTTACGGTGTTTATTACCACGACAACCGTCCGAGTTGAACGTGCTTCTTGTGTATTCTGCTTGAAGGAGATGAAAATAGCATGCATCTGAAGCTGTCATATCCAATATTGAGAAACAGTGTGTATTATATGTTTATAATTGTTTTAAATGCCGCTTACTCATTTATAAGAAGTAACCAAGTAGAGGACACATATGCAGTTACTTTTTTGGTTGATATAATCCTTAGGTGTGTAAATGTATAATTGCCTTTTCATTATTTTTTCAGTTTTATTTTAATTTGTAGTTAAAATAACTAAAAATAAATGTATTTTAAAGTTTAGAATTAGACAGCCTTTGCACACAGGCTT